GTAAAGGTCGATTTATAAACTTGTCGTTGACGTTGCTGTTCGTCGTTGACGTACGAAGCGAAGGTATGTGTCGTTTATATCATTCGTTGCCTATTAACTTTCGCCGTTACGTTGCCGTTGCCGTTGGGTTTTCAACCAATCAAATTGCGGTAGTGTGCATTGCTTCCAACTTGACGGAAAATCCCCCGAAGTAGGGGGACATTTTTCTGGTTGACAGCACTAATTCCACGAAAATCAAATTTTGATAGAGATAATGAGGTCCACTAATAGTAAGCCATTTAATTACTTGTTTACCGAAACCCTCATATTTTAAATAGCTACCGTCATTTTCTACACTGTAGCTTTCTGTCAGTACTTATGCATTGTTAAAGATAGTTCTCGACGTCTAAATCAACAAGATTTATTGCTATTCATCAAATATGGATCTTGCAATTAAGCCCCGCCTCTCGAATTGACAACGAATGAAAAATTCATCACAATTGAGAGCTGAGATCGGGGCGGGTATGGGTGGGGCCTAATCTTTAGTTTTATTTTTTTCTTAATATACATAGTATTCTTTAACAACACGATACTCTAAAACATGTTTAATGTTAGTGAAGTTGTTATAATTAGTATTTTATCTGTATTTTTACTTCCCGAGCGTAAGCAAAGGAAGTATTGTAATCGAGTCCGTCGGCTGACTCTCTACTGTTACATTTTCTTGATCTTTCATGACCCCCAGAAGACGAAGAAATAAGTCTCCCGTTTCCGTCTGTCTGTCCGTCTGTCTGCCGTCCCGCATTTTGATTGAATTATAAGCGTATCATATTTAAACATTGTAAATTATATTAATTATGTTTAAAAATTATTTAATTATATCGTGAAAATTTATAGCGTTGACAGACCAACTTCAATCGTTTCAAAAATTTCCCCAAAATTTAAATGTTATCGAGTAAACGAATCACGGAACCCGATAAATTAAAATTGAAGTCGTACTTACTCTGTTTTCGGTACTTTTTGGAAAAATATTCACTTTCGTTCGTGTTCACAGTAGCAACACGACACATTTTCACTTATACAGGGTGACTGCGAAATAAGTGCAAATATTTTAACCACGGCATCCCCCACCCTAGTAGAGCCGAAATATAGAAAAAAGAAATTAAAAATCGAATGGGGCAAAACCCCCATGAACCACCCTCGATACGAAGGCACTGAGCCACCTTGTAAACAGAGTTGGAAAAACGTTCGAATAAAAACGACCTAAACACTTTCAGTTTCAATTAAAAGTAAAACCGACTTTTTGCTGCTTATCATTCGTTCATTCATTTACTCATTCATCGTTAAAGGTCAGTGTGAAAGTTTTTTGGTAATTTTGATTCTGACGGATGTTTGGTCCTTGTCACAACGCTTTTACGTTGTTTATTGGAACAGAAATAAGAGCAACTTAGAATGCTACTACCTTTTTACAAGAAATGTTAAAAATGTTGTCCTTGACTAGCAATACAGGCGTCAGAGCGTCGCAAGAGGTTTGTTGATAGGTAAAAAAACACCGGAGTAGCGGGTGTCACTTTCACTTGTTGAAGCTCTTCGATAATTTCTGGACACTGTTGATTTCCACAAACGAACTGTTTCATCCAACTGATACACATTTATCGAAAACCGTCTCTTGAAATCGTACTTGTTGACGACTACGTGGAGTTCCATCGGACAAAAAGTGAGTTACACAACGTGAACAATCAGTGGACTCCAAACCGTGCACTTTGTCAACATGGTATGGATGTGGCCGTATTCTTTTAATGTAGGATGCACTACAAGCTGTGAAAATCCAACTTCTTCTTTCTGTCCTATCACGGCCACGATCGTGAGTTTGAGGTTGAAGGTACCATGATCTCGGAGATTCTGTACCACTGATGCACCCATTACCATATCGACACAATCTGCATGGGAAAACTGCACCATAAACCGATTTCACCGACCGCTCGATGCTAACTGGCCCTTTTCGTGTTTTTCACGTTGCGATTAAAAAAGTGCCTGATAAAGTAACTTTTTTGGTTCTTTAACCGACTCGCTCTGTTCCATTCATTGTAGTAATTATGTAGGTCACAAAACAGTCCAGCGGCGCGTACAACAATTTACATTGAATTTCAAATAATTTTTTCTAGACACTGCTACTACTTAGGACCGTGAATTTTACCCAGTGACATAATCATATTGTGAGCTATTCCCCATTTTTTTTTGCATGTATTTCGCAGTCACCTTGTATTTATTAATAATAAATTAGAAATTCGCGAAAATAAGCCAAACCGGAGCCCCGTGTTGTTGCCATCAGACCGATCTAAACAGAACATAAGGGACCGAAAAATGTGATCTTTGCTCAGGTAGCTCACGTGACATTGACGTCATCGTACGTCACGATGAGATTGCAAAAATAATTTTTCATATTTCGGCCGGGAAATTGCACATTTTCGGGGTTAATTTAATAATATTTAAAAAAATTGCTTTGTTTTTAGTAACTTTGCGTTCTGAAGAAAACGGTGTTCGATTTAATTATCATATATTAATACTTATCGTATTTAAACATTACAAATAATATTAATTATATTTAAATATTATTTAATTATACCGTGAAAATTTATAGCTTTGATCGACCAACCTGAATCGTTTTGAAAATTTTCCCAAAATTTAAACTTTGTCGAGTAAACGAATCACGGAACCAGATAAATTAAAACTGAAATCCTACTTACCCTGTTTTTGGTCCTTTTCGGAAAAATATCCATTTTCTTCCGTGTTCACAACAATGACACAACACATTTTCCCTAATATTTATTAATAATAAATTAAAACTGAACACAAAGGACCGAAAAACGTGACGTTTGGACAGGTAGCTCACGTGACAGTGACGTCATCGCACGTCACGATGAGATTGCAAAAATCATTTTTCATATTTTGGCCGGGAAATTAGACATTTTCAGGATTAACTTAAGAATATTTAAACAAATTGCTTTGTTTTTAATACCATCGTGTTTTTAGTAAAACCGTTTTCGGTTTGATTATCATATATTAATAGTTACTTACCATATTTGAGCATTATAAATAATATTAATTATGTCTAAATTTTATTTAATTATATCGTGAAAGTGTATAGCTTTGACCGATCAACTTCAACCGTTTCGAAATTTTTTCCAAAATGTAAACATTGTCGAGTAAACGAATCACGGAACTTGATAAATTAAAACTGAAGTCGTACTTCCCCGTTTTCGGTCCTTTTCGAAAAAATTAAAAAAAAGCGGAATATTTAAATTTATTTATCTATTTAAAAAAATATCCACTTTTGTTCGTGTTCACAGTACTAACACAACACATTTTCATGGTAAGCAATTCTTGTAGAAAAATACGGATTTTACAATTAAATTCCGCTCCTTTGGCTGTCGACGATTAAGAAAAATCATCACAATTGAGACAGGATGGGTAGGTGGGACTTAGTTTTGCATCTTTTTTTCTTCAAAATATATATTATTTTTTCCCCATAACAAAAAACTGAAAACATGTTTAAAATGGTAAATTTTATCCCATACACTTCTCTACAAATTTACCCTTTTAAACATGTTTTCAGTTTCTTGGTGAAACGTAAAGTACGGACATACTTATATTAAGAAAAAAAAGACAAAATACAAAACCAGCCCACCCACCCTCATCTCAACTGTGATAAGGTTTTTATTCGTTGTGAGCCAAAGGGCGGAGTTTATTGCAAAAGGCTTATTTCTCTACAAGAAACTTCTATGTGAAACATGTTTATAAGTAACATGTTGTTGAAAAGAAACTATGTATATGTTAAAGAAAAAAAATCCAAAAAATAAGCCTCATCCACCCACCCGATTCTCAATTGTGATGAATTTTTCATTCGTTGTCAAACCGAGGGGCGGAGCGTAATTGTAAAATTGATGTTTCCCGACAAAAATTTACCATTTTAAACATGTATTGTCGTGAAAAGATTGTTACGTATATCCAGAAAAAAGGTAAAATTTAAGTTCCGCCCTGTCATCGCCATCTCAATTGTAATGATGTTAGTCGTTGTGAATATTGAAATCCTAAAAAATCGTTATATTTCATATTGTAAATTGTGGAGATGCCAGGGGAGGTTCTGTCGAAACAACTTTCGACCAATTTTTATTAATAAGTATATGTATATTTTAGCTAGGTACTGTTTTATATTTACTTTACCTTACACAGAAAGTAAAAAAGTATTTAACTACTTCTTAACTAGTCTAACTACGTAGTTACATGGTACAAGAAGTCTTCCTGTACCATAGTCGCAACAACTTGTGTATGGTAATTAACAATTTTTTTCAAGTGCTGTAATCGCAACCTCACATTGTCTAGTGATTAGACTTGATTAGATTATAATCTAATACAAATAAAAATAAAGTGATTAAAAAATTTTCAAGGCAAAATTTTTGTATTCTTGAACATTTTGATTCAGACTATTACATTTGTAATTTTTTAATTTTATTACTTAGCTGACATCAGTGAATTTCATTTCCGTAATAATAACAAAGTTTTTTATTTTCCACAGGAAGTAATATTGCACCTTTAACAATTTGTATCAGTAATTTTTACCCTCTCTTTATTTATGGAATGTGACTTTTTTCTTTTCTTTTAATCCTTAAAAAGTTTTTATCGCGACCGTGGCTAATCTCTAAACCTTCGTTTGCGTACAAATGAAATGGTAACAATCCTTGAACAACTGTAGCACTTAGGAAATTAAAATAAAAAATAAAACACTTTAAAAAAATCGAGTATGTTATCACGAGACCTACCTTAAAACTGCTTACGGTAATATAAATAATATTAAATTTTCCTTAAAATGAAGACCTTATATATATTTTTTTAATTAAAAAGTAATTAGTAGATATATTATCCATCTAATTCGAAGTTAGAAAAGACTTGCCCATGCGTTTATAAAACCCGTGAAAAATTTTCAAGTGGTCATCATCACCATCAACACTTGACAAGATAACATTTGCTTATATAACGCCCCGAAAATGCCAAATCTTGGTAGTCACTGTCAGCAGTCATGAAGAAAGCAATTTTCGTAGCAGTGGGTGTCCTCGTGGCTCTCCAGGTCAGTTATAACTTCTTCTACAAGCAAACATATTACAATAAAAATTTTAGCAAGTGTTTAGTGCCACCGACGATGAGGTCCAACAAGCCTACACCGAACTGGAAGACCTCACATACGAGGCCTTCGAGAAATGGGACGCCATTCGGACCAACTACACAGAACGTTTCTTAGAAAACTTAGCTTTGGACCGTCTGGATGCTAAGTTAACTATGGACAGCAGACTTGGTGAAACTCTTGACAAAGTTAACGCGTTGATTGAAAGAACCAATGTTTTCGACAGTGTCGATACCACTGAATGTATCTGGGGCCTTAACGAGAGTCTGACAGCACTTCGAGCTAGTTCGCTTGAATCTTTAGATATTTGTTTGTACGATAACAGGTATACAACTGGTTTCAACATAGTTGCTGCTAAGTGGACTACTATCGTTCATTTGGGTATGGATTTTCTCGTTTGTACTCAAAGGGCTGCTGCTGATTGTCAAGGAGATGAAGCTTGTGGTGATAAGATTATCACAGAAATAGAACAGAAGAAGACTGACTCGCCAATGACTATAAATATGCTTGGCGAAAATATGATTGCAACTTTAGATAGTTTGCCGATTAGATGTAAGGATCAGATTTTGACGCAATATAATGATAATCTTGCTGATACAGTGGAAACAGTTGGGAGCTGTATTGACCGATTGATCAGCAGTTTTGCTCCATTGCTATGTAGTGCAGATAAAAAATAAAGTGTTTTCTGCTTCACTGATTTATTTTTTTATATAATAATTTACTACCAAGTTTAAGTTTAAATTTAATCTTAACGACTGCAGAGACAAAGAGAGAGAAAGGTTATAGTTTCCTTTCTCATCACGTGAAAAAAATTTCCTTTACTTTTAGGATTCTGGAGTAGGGAACAGTAATATCATTTAATACGTTTTTAATGATGGTACATACGTGCACTCGTTTCGCCGACATTTGATGGTGCCGTATAAAAATAAATCTGTCCTCGTTAATCAATCATCCCGACCGAATAAAGCTCCGAATTAGGAAGCTTTTAATGTCACCCGAGCAAAATCAATAGTGCAAACTCAAATTCATAAATAATTTGGTCAATTTAAATTTGCAACACGAATTAGCACTCTATCAAAATGGAAAACATCCGATTGTGCCAGAGCTTAGCGCGAAACTCGGAAGCTAGTTGATGAAAGCTCCGACAGAGGCCGGTAACAATTTCAAAATAGGCTTTTCCGGTCAACTAAAAGAATAAACAGAAATCGTCGACCGATTGCAAACGAGAGACAAATTATGTCGCTTTTCGACGCAATTCCGCATTTAAAACCTGGAAGGGCGCAATAAATCCGGATTGTGCCAGTTAATAAATTTTCGCCGAAAGTAATGACGGTTTATCAAATGTGTTCAGTAACTAAATAATTTATGAAACATAGGTGGATTAACCCTTGATTTAGGATGGTGAGTAGGTGGATTACGTTTCAAGTGAAGAGGTAATCATTAAAGCCGATTTTAACTGGTGTCGTAAATTACTTTAATCGCGTTGACATGTCAACGAATGCGGAGGGACATCGAATGGACACGGAATCCACTAAAACGAAATATTGTGCAATGACTGATACTGTGGCGGAGAATACAAAAAACTACTTACGTATGTTAGCGAACTTTACGTTTTATGGTTGTCACTAGATGCTTTTCAGAGTCCTCGCGTCTGCTGAATTAATAGCCTGGATGATTTACTTTTATTATCTTTTAAGATACGTACAGCTTAGACGAACATTATAAAGATGATTTGCTACACATTCGTAGCGTTTCCGCTTCGTTTTAATTATAATTTTACAGAGAATCAAACATCAAAATTTATTTCACTCTTATTTATAAAGACGGGCAAAAGTATATTTGCATATCATGAACTATTGGCCATACTAAACCCAAACTTATACAGATATGTTTTATTTATGGTATTTATGTTCAATAATAAGTAATTTTTGTTTACGGTTTATTTCTTCAATGAAAATTTTAGTTTGTTATTCCTTTTACTTACTGAAGTTTCGGCCATAAGAGTTTATTAATAGGAACATATTTACTCTTTACTATCATCTTTTACATAATTCTTGCGTAAAGTGAAACTACAAAATACATGAAATTTGGTAGTTCAAAGAGTGAATTTTAAAACACATACGAAGTAGCTTAAAAATGAAACGCATGAACAGAAGGAACGAAATTATTGTAATGAAAACGAATTCTTTTTGAAAAAGCTAATTTATTTAAATATTGTTTCGTAAAGTTCAGCGAAAGATAAAGTGCATCCACGATTTTGACTTCACAAAAATTTTATAGTAGGCCTCGCTCACGAAAATTTAGGTTTATTACCATAGTTGTCTTCTCATAATTGTAACACTTGCAGCTTACTTCTATCTCTAGAACTACCTACTTCTCATTTTTAGAACGGAAATAGACAATATGTTAAAAATTTTGTAATACAAAGAGGACTATGGCAGTCGAGGAAAAGAAAGAGGTGAGCACGGATAGGGGTCAATGACATTTTGTCGTCACGGCCTACCCCTAGGGAAATCGGTGTGATGATGAATATATAAACACTATACAGGTTGAATGATTAGCGCCCGGTCCTCGATATTTATTGCTTGTTAGAGATAGAAAAAAAGTCAAATACCGAAGTTGTACGGTTTTTTGAGGACTATACTCTAAAATAATTTTTAACTATAGACAGTGTTCTGTATTTAAGATGTAACACACAACTTAGTTTTTTTTTTAATGAAATACACTACATACTTTTATATATTCCCATTAGGCCCTTCCTACGCTAGTACTTGCCAAGATAAGATTGATTTTGCAAAATGATATACCCCCTCTAAGAAAATAAAGGGCGGGAGGGCGGGGCTAATAATAACCAAGATAAGAGTGATTTTGGCAAATGACCTATTCTTTAAGAAAATGAAGGGTGGGTGGGCGGGGATAGTACTTGCCAAGATAAGACTGATTTTGGCAAAGGACCTACTCTCTAAGAAAATAAAAGGCGGGTGGGCGGGACTAGTACTTGCGAAGATAAATTGATGTTGGCAAATGACAAGACTGAATTTGCCCTCATTTATGTTTGAAATACCATTGCGACGTTGCCACGTTATTCAATTTCTGCTGAATTTTTTTAATAATGGAAGGGTTTCCAAAAAAAATCATAACAGGGTTATTTTTTAATCTATGTTACAATATTTTGTGGAAGGATAAATAAAGGTACGCGCTTTCTCATGGTATCAATTAAATCGAATTTTAAGATACAGAATGTTTACAAAAAATTCTAAAACTTTGGAATTTTCAAATATCGATATTTTAGTTTTTTCAAATAGAACAGATTTTATTACTATAATTTACTGTATTTTTTTGTTCTCATTCTTCTAATATGTCGATGTATCTCTTAAAAAAGTAAAATATGACACTAACAAAAACAGAATCCGATGCAGTAATAAAATATAGGGTGTTCTATTTGAAAAAAAAACTAAAAATCGATATTTAAGAATTGTAAAACTATTTTTTATAAACACTCTGTATATGACAAAGGCGTTTCATTTATATCACAACAAAGCCCATACTTTTATTTATCTATCCACAAAATATTGTAATATAGATTCTAGAAGTAACCCTGCGGCGATTTTTGTTTTGTGAACATTTCCATTGCTAAAAAATTAAAAAAAAATGGAATAATGTGGCAACGTCGAACCAGAATTTCAAAAATAACCTGTGTTTGTAAAGCCTAAGAAGAGGTCAATCAAAATATCGCAAAATATATGGGTGTGTCATTAAAAAACAATTCGTTGTGTGTTGCGCCTTAAAATAATTTTAGAGTACAGTCCTGAAAGAACCGCACAGCTTTGGTCTTTATCCCCTTTTCTGTTTCTAATAGTCAATGAGATATCAAGGATTGCGCACTCAGTGACTCATAATAATACTTGCCAAGATAAGAGTGATTTTGGCAAATGACCTATTCTCTAAGAAAACAAAGGGTGGGTGGGCGGGGTTGGTACTTGCTAAGATAAGACTCTTTTTGCAAAAAGACATACTCCCTCTAAGAAAACAAAGGGCTGGTGGGCGGGGCTAATACTTGCCAAAATAAGAGTAATTTTGGCAAATAACCTATTCTCTAAAAAAATAAAGGGTGGGTGGGCGGGGATAGTACTTGCCAAGATAAAACTGATTTTGGCAAAGGACCTACTCTCTAAGAAAATAAAAGGCGGGTGGGCGCGACTAGTACTTGCGAAGATAAAATTGATGTTGGCAAATGACAAGAAAATAAAGGGGATAATACTTACTAAGATAAAACTGAAATTGCCCTCATTTATATTTGAAATTCCATTGCGACGTTGTCACGTTATTCAATTTCTGCTGAATTTTTTTAGTAATGGAAGGGTTTCCAAAAACATTCATAACAGGGTTATTTTTTAATCTATGTTACAATATTTTGTAGGAGGATATATAAAAGTACGCGCTTTCTCATGGTATCAATTAAATCGAATTTTAAGATACAGATTGTTTACAAAAAATTCTAAAAGTTTGCAATTTTCAAATATCGATATTTTAGTTTTTTCAAATAAATAGAACATATTTTATTATTTTCATTTTTCTAATATGTCGACGTGTCTCTTAAAAAAGTAAAAAATGACACTAACAAAAACAGAGTAATGCATGCAGTAATAAAATATAGGGTGTTCTATTTGAAAAAACGTTAAAATATGGATATTTAAGAATTGTAAAACTATTTTTTATAAACACTCTGTATATGACAATGGTGTTTCATTTATATCACAACAAAACCCCTACTTTTACTTATCTCTCCATAAAATATTGTAATATAGATTCTAGAAGTAACCCTGCTGCGATTTTTGTTTTGTGAACCTTTCCACTGCTAAAAAATTCAAGAAAATTGGAATAATTTGGCAACGTCGAATCAGAATTTCAAAAATAACCTGTGTTTGTAAAGCCTAAGAAGAGGTCAATCAAAATATCGAAAAATATATAGGTGTGTCATTAAAAAACAATTCGTTGTGTGTTGCGCCTTAAAATAATTTTAGAGTACAGTCCTGAAAGAACCGCACAGCTTTGGTCTTTACCCCCTTTTCTGTTTCTAATAGTCAATGAGATATTGAAGATTGCGCACTCAGTGACTCATAATAATACTTGCCAAGATAAGAGTGATTTTGGCAAATGACCTATTCTCTAAGAAAACAAAGGGTGGGTGGGCGGGGCTAGTACTTGCCAAGATAAGACTGATTTTGGCAAATGACAAGAAAATAAACGGCGAATGGATGGGGGTAATACTTGCTACGGTAAGACTGAAGTTGCCAAATAACATACCCTCTAAGAAAGTATGGGTGGGCGGGGCTAGTACTAGTAGGAGCCAAAATCAGTGTTACTTTGGCAAATTACTCTCTAAGAAAATAAAAAACGAGTAGGTATGGCTAGTACCTGTTAAGATAAGACTGATTTTTGTCATTAATAAGTATATATTATTAGGGTGGTATTGGACGAAAATGAAATTTTATTATAGCTATCACCAGAAGTAGAAAGATTGTTAAAGGAGTTAAACGTTGTTGTTCGAATACCCCTAACGTTTTGATGGTAAATATTTAAATAGCATTTATTGTATTTGGGCGAAGTTGGTTTAAAGAAGATGCGGCAACACTGGTTTTCCTGCCATATTAAATTTAATGTCGCTAAACACATCTATGTATACAGTGTGA